AGAAAGGAAGAAAGGAAGAAAGGAAGAAAGGGAGAAAGGAAACAAGGGAGGGAGGGAGGGAAGGAAGGAGGGAGGGAAGGAAAAGTAGTCAAGGTTGGAGTTCTTACTTTGCTGCCCTTTACGCGTGAGTGTATCTGCTCACCTTCACCGTTATCAACTTAGAACTGTACGTGAAATAACTGAGCTCCACCCTCTGCCTAAATCCAGTTATCAGTCATCAGCACGTACCCTTTCCCTCCTAGAGGTACTATTTACTAGGGACCTTCTTTTCTTTTCTTTTCTTTTCTTTTTTTTTTTTTTGTTTTTTTTTTTTTTTTTTTTGTTTTTTTTTTTTGTTTTCAAGACAGGGTTTCTCTGTGGTTTTGGAGCCTGTCCTGGAACTAGCTCTTGTAGACCAGGCTGGTCTCGAACTCACAGAGATCCGCCTGCCTCTGCCTCCCAAGTGCTGGGATTAAAGGCATGCGCCACCACCGCCCGGCTACTAGGGACCTTCTTTATGAGAATGTTTTCTTCCCTTGACTTTTAAAGAGCAAGTGGTCTGCTGACTTTCCAGCTCACTGGCTGCAGTCGGCTGGCTCCTCTTCATCTCTCCTCACAAGTCCTCAGAGGCAATCTTCAACCATTGCTCACTCTTCCCAGAGCTAGTTTGTTACATTTACCATCCCCAAACCAACCTGCTACAGGGTGACTATATCAATGTCCTCCAGGCTGCTCTGGAAGGCGAGAAAGTGAATTGGAGGGGAGGAGGCTATGCAGTTTGCCTGAGATAGGACTATCCTCGGAACCTGCAGACTCATGGGCAAGGTGAGGACTGGCCGTGACGATCTTTAACAAGCGCAGCCTCCCCTCACCGTGCCCACATTTGCAGATCTGCACAGCATGGTAATGTGCCAGGGTCAACACCAGGGGCTTATCGACAAGATTATACATTTAACCCCCTGCACTCTATGCGGCTACAGTTATACTTTCATTTTAGAGATGAGAGATTTGACCAACAGAAAAATTAAATTACTCTGCCAGGGTTGCAACTGAGATTCCAACACAAACATTCCTGGCATTCTCCCTTAATTCGCTTACCAAGAAAATTCCATTAGTGCAGATGCCTAAATGGTCTAATTAGAGAGTTGTCCTGATACCATTAGTCTGAACCAATATACTGAGGAAGCAAGCATGATTCATTCTAGGCATCCAAACAGCATCAATTATCTGAAAATGATGCATATAAAAACTTCTTAATAGTGCATCTGATACATAGAAAATGTTATCCCCTCCTATCTTTGTTTTTATTTGAGTCCAAACTGACTTCATTTGTTGGATCTTAGACTCCTGTGAATTATCATAGCGATTCAAGATCCCTGAGTTTCTTCTCTCACAGCTATGGTAATCATTTCCATCTCTCCTGAAGATTTGCCTACCCGATCATCATAAACTCATCCTCTATGATGGCTACTAGCCACTCTGCCCACGAGACAGTTCTTACCACATGCCCGAAATGTAGTGCTTGACCAGTGGAAAAACTAACTGTAAACTAAGGTTGCAAAATGAAGCTACGCTTGGTTATCAGAACTCTAACTGATTTCAGTGAGTTTGGGAAGTTAGAACGTTACAAGTCCAAGACCAGATTTACTGGGTTATCTTAGTCCTTTTAATGGACAATCTCCTCCCATCCCCTGTAGAAGACTTAACATTCTTGTGATGAGGACTCCACACTGCTGCATGGGACATTCATTACAACTCTACTAAAACCCATCTGTACTCTCTGATGCCTTTCCCACTGCCTCTCCTAACTTAAGTTAAATATCAAAAAACACACCCTTCAGGGTGCCTGTTGTCATTAACTCTTCTATTTACCTCATCCCTTCCTCTTCAAATTCAATGCAAAATGAATTTTAAAACTCTTCATGGACTTCCTGACCCCTACCTATAAATATTCCTTAAACAACCATTTTGATTCTTGTATCCCTAGGCCCCTTGTAGGCAGCCTGGTAACTCAATTTACCCAGACTCAGACTATTGTTCAATGAGGGCAATATCTTCCTGACACAGAATATGAATGCCAGCCTCTGCTGCAGAGACCTACACCTGAGAGCACCCTCTTATACAAGACCTAGTCCTGCACTACTGTACACCAGCTCAGCTCAAAAGCCTGAGACTCGGCTTTGGCATCCATCATGCCCTACATCTTCTCCTTGACTTTTTTTTTCCTATAAAACCATGCCTGTATCCATCCCCCTCTGTGTGAGTGAATCTCTCTCTCTCTCTCTCTCTCTCTCTGGTAAATGCTATGAATGTTAAAACATGGGCCTGCCACTTTAAGATACTTGTCCCTAAAAGAGATCAGATGGGTCCCCAGGAGAGTTGGACCTCAGCAGAAGGGAGACATGTGTCTGACAGAGCGAAGGTGCATTTCTGTATGTTGAAATAAACAGAACAATCAAAGGGTTGCCACGCTGAATTATCAGGGAGCCCCGAGTTGCAGATGGAAGCAAGCATCCAAGCTTTGCTAGACAACAAACATCCAAGCTTGTAATCTAATAGGAATAATCATCTAGACACATGAGCAGGAATCAACTAGATAGTGATGGCAAGCAGCCCACACTGCCCGGGGACATCACTTGGTGGTGTCATCAACAAGGGTGCTAATGTTTTAAACGCAGTAGGACACCATTGCTTGAGCTGAGACTTTGTTGACAATAAATGAATCTCTTGAGTGGACTCGGTTGCTTTGTTCTTCCAGAATGCAGGTCAGAGTACACTTCTGGGGATCCTTTTATCTAGATGTGTTCCGGGAACTTCATTTAATTAGTGCTCCGGAAATAATGTGTTTTGGCGTGCACATCACATATGAACTTGAACTAGCTTTTATTCCTATCTGGCTTGAGCTCTGTCAGCCATTCTGTGGCTCTGCAGCCAACTGCAAGGTAAACCCAGGCAAAAGAGCATGGGTCAGCAAATTCGTAACCTCAAAAGCTTAGCTTCCCTATGTACCCACAGCTGGGAAGCATCATTGCCACTTATTAAAAGTAGAATGACTGACTTAGCAACTTTTACATCCAATTGATTTTTTTTTTTCAAACTCAGATCTTTAATCTATTCCTTGCTGTTCCCCTTTAAAAGTTGATTCATTCTCTTGGGTTCCAAAGGTACTGTTGAATTTATCTTTCCTATGCCTATGCCAAGTCACTGCTCCCAACTTAAGACGTCTGTTCAGATGGAAGTTTGATCATTTCAGATAGGATGAATCAAGAAAGCACTTGCCAGGAAATGTCATCTTCTGGAAAAACCCCAATCACAATTACCTCCAGTAGCAACGGAGAGAGAGAGAGAGAGAGAGAGAGAGAGAGAGAGAGAGAGAGAGGCCCAGAGAAGATAAAACAGATAACCGGAAGTTACAGATAAAGCCTCGGAGCTCTTCAAATGTATCCCACTCCCCCAGCTGCTCAGAGCGGAAGATAAGCTGTAAGACATTGCTTGAGACGCATTACGTTTTATTGTTTTTGGTAATTGGGAACTATTAGTTTGGAAACACAAGAAAAGGTGAGCGGGAAACATTGCTCTTTTTGAGTAGTTTCTATTTAATTCAGCTGTAGCCGTATCTCATCGTACACGGGCTCGTTCGTCTGTCAGTGGGTTAAACTGGGCTTTGTACTAATCTGTCACTTAGACCTCATTTATATTAGAAAACATAATCCTTAATGAACTGCTAACAAAATGAAGAGATGCAGGGGTTCAGGGAATCACTTCTGTCCTTTAGTTCACACTTGTCTGCCAAAGAAAATGAGAGTGAGGGATGGGTGGGAGGCAGAGAGGAATCGAAAGGTACCTGCAGAAGAGGATGCTTGCTGAAGCAGACAGCAGCTGAGAGAAGTGACCCCAGAGAGCTTCCCAGTAGGCTCAATGAAAGACCCACCAGCAAAAGGACCCTTGCTCATGGCCACCGACAGGTCCTAGCAACCCTCACACCCAAGAGAAAGAGCCTCCTTGGGTTCAGGATTTCCAGTTGATAAAGCTTGTGCCAGCTCAGTGTCGAGTCAGCAGGATTTGGAAGCCACTCTCCGGGGAATGCTCGGCTGCCCTCTATCTGCAACAGCATCTCCCCCATTTCAACCTGTCCTTCCAGTCAGCTCCACACTGGGCCAGTAAATACCGGGCTTGGTAAAGCTTTGGTTCTATTAAGTCCTTTGTTTCCAGTGGTACCCATGTCTGTTTTCTTGAGTGCTGATCTTCTTCACCCCCACCTTATTTCATCTGACTATTGGTCCCCACATATGAGGGAACCCAGAACCTTAATATCTGTAGCATTCATAATAGCAATTTTTTTATTCATTTTACCCAATAATCTCTAAACATCAGTCATGTTGTAGAAACTGATCTAAAATCATGATCAGAATATAAAAATGTCTAGGAGGTACTGTTTGGTGACATCAATTAACAATTAGCTGTGTATTCAAGGATATAAAAGAAAGATAAACATCGACAGATAATTCATAGGTTGACTCAAATTACAACTTCAGAAACAGTACTCCCTCATAATCAGAGAATATAAGCTCAGCAATCCAGGGTCATGGTCCTTGGTGTGACATCCTACAGGAGCATGGGAGTTGGGAGGAAAGAGCGTTTTCCTGAATCACTCTGGAAGATCCAGAGCATGGTGGAAGCATTTTATAAGGCAAACTTCAAAAAGATATTTATGGCGGCTCAAAAGTTTCTAGATGTTTCTGTGTCGACCTTCTGCATTTCTAATTTTTGGTTAAGCTGAGCCTAGAATGGTGCCTAACCCAAGAGCACAGGTGTCAGAATGCCTAGCTTCACCGTTTTTCTTCCCTGTTTCCATTTTCTCTGGCCCATGTATCATCACCAGAAGCTCCCATGGTAATGACACATCTCCCTTGCCTTCTCCAACCACATTCTTGGACATGAGGTCTAATGAATCTACCCACCAAAAACTCAGGACAAGCTGAGACTGTACAGCCTCAGTCCCTTAGGCGCTGGTAACTTACACGCTTCCCGAAGTTTCTCTTTGTCATAGTGGAGTCCTTCATAGTCTTGTAAACTGATTTTGTTCACTCGGATCCTCAGGCGATCTGGGACAGACTGGGGACTGCAAGACAAGAACCAAGAGGTCAGGTACAGTGAGAGAGAGAGAGCAGAACTGTGAGTCAGGGTCCTGGAGGGAATGGGGACAATTGCATCTCCTGTGGGTTAAAGAAAAGATTTATGTACAGACCAGAAATACATCCTGTTTACTGGGACACCAAAATTAGCTGAAGAATCCTTCTCTAGAAACTTAGTGTACCCAAAATCAGGAAAGAACACAGGAGTAGGAACAAAAGGCTCTGGGGAACATCCCTATGTAATGTTGGCTATTAATTTGTCACAATTTAAGTAACACCATGCATTTCATTGTGTGTAACAAATTGATAAATGAGACACAAGTAATGAAAAATAATAAGAAAGATGTTGGAGCTACAGAATACTAGTAAATATGTCCAAAACAGTCAAAACTGATTAACAATGGCCTTACCTCAAAAGAAGTTTTCTAAAAAATGCATTTAAAATACAAACAAGGTTATCTAGAGTACATAGGATCAAGGTTGAGATTTCTCATCTATTGAGGAGTCTTTGAAAGCACACTCAGTTAAAGTATGTTGTGATTGTTGCTGCCTGTAAGGTCCCTCGAAATGAAGTACACAACTCACGCCCCCCCCCAAAAAAAAACCCTCATTCAAGCTGGCCCAGGACATGTAACAGTTAATTAAACAGGAAGCACAAAATTCTCTGAAGCATCCTGCTCACCCTCCTAGATTCTTTATTTTGTCTTAAGTCACATCTTCAAAGTGGTTTCATTCTAGGCCTAAGCTGAGTGGAAAAAATAAACTTAATATTTATCACCTCCAGTGTGGAGCAATGTGTTCCTTTTGGTCCATGCGCAGCCTTCAGTTTCATTAGCTGAAAGAACTTTCTCAAACACAAGATTGATGTTTATTTTTTTTATAGTAAATGCTAATAAATATTGCTAATAAGAGAGAGGGAGAGAGAGATTTCAAGTATTCCAAGTATAAGTATATAAGTATACAAATTCTAAAGAGGGTAATGGGTAGACATTTATGAGGTTCACTGTTTAACACAAAATCACACAGATGGTTAGTCCTGAGAAAGCCCTGGAGACAGATGTGCTGGCTGCCTGGACTATCACTCAAAGTATGACTGTTGAGTGCTGTAGGCCTATATTTCTATTTAGTATGGTAGCCAAGCCACCAAGCCATAGGCCACGCCTGAGATGGGCCACATATTCTGCCAGGCAGGCTGTCCCTAACCTAACAAATGGTCAAGATGTTTTGCTCCTCCCTTTGTAATTTGGAGGATGCCTGATAGAGATGCTGATTCAAGCCTATGTGAGAGCTAGCACACAGAGCAGACAGGTAGTTCTGGATGTGACTGAAAGCCATTCACCTGGTTACCTAGGAGACAGTGCTAATGTATTTCCCCTAAGTTAAGTTTTAGTATAAAGGCTGTTTGGAAAATAAAGCAGGAGGAAAATTCTTCAGGATGTGAACTCAGGACTTCACGAGGGACCACTGAGAATCTCCCTACCAATAAAACCATGTAAGTCATGTCTTTATCCCCATCTCCTCCACACCAGTCCAGAGAGAAATAGTTTATGTTGGGGTCTGGTTGAGAGAAATAACTGATGGTCCGGGCTAGCATCGGACCCCGACAGAGTGCCCAATCTACTGGCATTGTGCTGGCCATGGCAGAAGCACAGGAGAATAAATCTGCCGTGTGTTAGTGGTGTTAAGAGCCAAGATCTAGTTTGATAGAAGAGGTGCAAATCAGTCTACCAAACCTTAAGTATCACATGCCTGCAAGTATCACTTCACCAACAGATAAAACAGTGGCTTCAAAATATAAAGTGATTTTAAGGTCATATAGCTCTATATGGCAGAAGGAGAAGCAGAGATATGATCCCCACACTCATTGTTCTGATCCTCCTCCTATATGATATCCCTTTGAGGAGCCGCAACCATGAAACTATGGATAAATACCAAGAGTCCATGCATAAGACAGCGAAGTCATAATATGGTTTAGCCTGATCAGCTGATCTCTACCTGGTGCCAAGAGTGCTTTATTTATCAGTAAACAATTTACACGAGGTTTGTTAAGTGAACTATGGCACATCCTATCAAGAAAACATGAGGCAGATATTATAAATGGATGTGTAGAGCTGTATTTATTTAAAGGGAAATCTGTCTACCACATACTCTCTGTGTGTGTGTGTGTGTGTGTGTGTGTGTGTGTGTGTGTGTGCATGTGTTCTAAATTCCTGCATGCAAATTGTGGGACTTACAAGTTTGAGTATATAAAAGAAATGTCTGCATAAAAGTTCAATAAGTGGTTTCAAGTGACTATTCTAAATAACTGATTGAGGTTCATTTGCATTGAATACCATAATTCTTAGAGAAATAATATAGCTATTTTAAAAGCATATCAATCTATTAACAAGTGATAACTCTACACAAGAGGAAAAGTAATGATCACGGTAAAGAATGCCGGGTGCTAGATGTAAGTAAGAAGAAGGAATTAAGTGATTAGCAGCAATCACACTTGCTTCACATCAAGGGCTTATCCCCACATCAAGGGGCATCATATTTTCATTCCCAAGCTAACCCAGGTAATCTTTATAGATGGTATCTGGTGATTTTTTTCCCCACAAACAAGGCAGATGAGAAGGAAGCTGAGGTCCTGGAAAGCAGTGGCTCTTCCCAGTCTGTGACGGCAGGCAGAAGGAGAGCACAGGGCAGAGTGAGTTCTGTGTAAACACTCTCTTGAGACAAGTGGATTAAATGCCACTGAGCTCTGGCTGTCTTTGGTGGTTAATGGCAATAAGAGCGACTTCGTTAGGGCAGCAGTTGCCAAGTGTAAACAGATTTCAGAGAACTGCTGGCCTGTCCTTCCGACCACTTCCATGTGTAACACCCACCTCAGTCCCAGCAGAGTCTGTTTCCCCTCTGCCCACTGTCACCTCCCAACTTCTCACCTTTGCCCTCTGGTCCTACCACACACAAAGATGCCTCGAAACACTGGGCTCCAAACTTCCATGAAGCCCACTGTGATCATACACTAGGACCTGAATTGACATATTATTTCTTTCTTCTTTTTTTTTTGGGGGGGGGGGGTTGGTTGGTTGGTTGGTTGGTTTTTGTTGTTGTTTTTTTTGTTTTGTTTTGTTTTTGTTTTCTTATTTTTTTCTTTCTTTCTTTCTTTCTTTCTTTCTTTCTTTCTTTCTTTCTTTTTTTTCTAGACAGGGTTTCTCTGTAGCTTTGGAGCCTGTCCTGAACTAGCTCTTGTAGACGCTGGCCTTGAACTCACAGAGATTTGCCTGCCTCTGCCTCCGAGTGCTGGGATTTCATTTCCTCTCCAGGATTGTGTCACTAACCATACTCCCTCTTCTCACTTTTAGCTCCCACCTTCTTGCAACATACACCAATAGGAGCTTCCTTTTTTTTCATGTTTCATTTCTTTTTTATTATTTATTTATTTATTAAAGATTTCTGTCTCCTCCCCGCCACTGCCTCCCATCTCCCTCCCCCTCCCCCAGTCAACTTCCCCTCCCTCATCAGCCCGAAGAGCAGTCAGGGTTCCCTGCCCTGTGGGAAGTCCAATGACCTCCCACCTCCTTCCAGGTCTAGTAAGATGAGCACCCAAACTGCCTAGGCTCCCACAAAGCCAGTACATGCAGTAGGATCAAAACCCAGCGCCATTGTTCTTGACTTCTCAGCAGTCCTCATTGTCCACTATGTTCAGTGAGTCCAGTTTTAACAACCTGGAAACAATAGGAGCTTCCTTAAACCATGCCCTAAGTTATCCCATGCTTTGCTTCCTGTTAAATGCTGACCTAAAACCTTATAAAAGTTGGTCTGGCAATTGTGGCGCACTCCTCTAATCCCAGCACTCGGGAGGCAGAAGCAGGTGGATCTCTGTGAGTTTGAGGCCAGCCTGGTCTACAAGAGCTAGTTCCAGGACAGGCTCCAAAGCCACAGAGAAACCATGTCTCAACAAAACAAAAATTTAAAAAAATGTCACTTAATATCAGATCATGGGCTAAATAGCAGAAATCCTTTTCAATCATTCGCGACCTTTGTATAAACAGTAGGTGTGGGTTGGGGTTACATAGCTAATTGTTGAGAGATACCAGGCTCCAAAGCAGACCAACTAGATCCGAAGCAAAGTTATTCACTTCCTGGTTAATCTGCAATATTGTCTCCTCGTACGTAAGATTATGACAACAGGATCAACCAGTATGAGTACCAAATGGGTCAGGACACGTGATGCGCCTTGGAAAAGTGCCTGGTACATTCTAAGTGTCAAATAGGTATTAGCTAATATCATTATGATAATTGCTCTGATCATTTCTCTCCTAAACAAGATTCTGCCTAATACTAGCATCTGCTGCTGCCAGATATGGGAAGAAATTTGGAACAAACACAAGAACTTCCCTAAACATTTCTAACGAGGTCCCTGGGGGACACTGTCTCTCTTGGCTGGTGTTGTGATGTTCCACATCCATGGATCGTCTCGCACTTGGTTTTTCACAAAGCCAGCTAATGGCAAGGAACTGGAGAGCGAAAACTCAGGGGACAAAAGTGAAAGCCAAGTAATTCAATTTTATCCCCATGTCATATTACATTAGCATCCCAATGCTGGCTGACTGAAGGTGGAGGACAACTGAGCTGCTGGCTGACTGAAGGTGGAGGACAACTGAGCTGGTCCCCGAAGTCTGGGGAGCGGCCCTGCCATTAGTTTTCTATAATTACATTTTGCTAAGGAAGTTAGTAGAGCATAGAAGAAACTCCTAACCTGAGTATACGGAAATTTGCCTCATGCCAACATCTACAAGTCACCCGTACTGGCTTCGGCATCGTATCAAGAGTTCTGAACCTGACTTCCAGGAGACACTTGAGTTTCCTGGAAGAGATCCAGAAATCTGTGAGCTTCCCTTTCTGTTGAGGTGGGATGGCAACCTGTCCACTTCTCTCTAAATTTCTTCTGCAACCTTATACAGATTGGAAGTTCACGCCTCCCGAAAAGTCCCCCGAAAGT